TGGTGCATGCTCTTCAAGAAACACGAGTGCTTGCCTAATTATAAAAATCTAATTTGGTACGCACGCTAGAATTTAAAAATATGTTCTAGCGCTGATCTGACTCATCACCAGCCAATTAAAATCCGTCCTTGGCCTGCTGCCACGGATCACACTTCCGGTGACAAGCAATTTTGGCTTACGGATTTACTTCATGAACTGCACGATTCGGGAATGCAATGTCGTTAACACAATTTGCATTCCTAAATCACAGCTGATTTGCAAATCGTCACTGTCTTGAACTAATTTGTCAATGTTGGTGAACAAATAAATACATTGTTAAAGCTTAAAATGTAGTATTATTTTGTGTTTATTTATACAAATTGAAGTACTGGTAATGGCCACAGCCATATTGGATCAGGTTATGAACTCAACCAATCACATGCCTAAGAGCATTACGATGGTTTATGAGGAAGACCAGCAACCAATCAGAGACTAGAACGAATGAGCGGCAGTTATGAAATCCAAGGCGCAGCCAGTAAGGAGCATTCGGATGGTTTGCTGGATTGGGCGATCTACACCACCACCGTCTACGCACTTTACCCTCTTATCTACAACTGCGCAATCAATTGGCTACTTTCTTGTCTTCCAGTCATCCCACCTTTATCGACTAAGGCCAGAAAACAGCCATTTTCCTCAATATTGTCCACTAACGCGCAATCGGTTAAGCGATCTGATAAACAAATGGGATCCCGTTGTTGGAGTCCTTCTTGTTCTCTCTTGAAAATATCGGAGTATTGTGTCAAACCGCAGATAAGTCAGTTGTCCCGGTGTGAGTTCGAGTCCCCCTTCTTCACTTTCTAATGATCAAGTAAGATCCCTAGAAATTCAAAGAATAAACCTACTGATCTCAATCCTGTAGGCTAGGTCAAATAAACTTGATCGTGAATTTGGTTTTTCTACTTCCTACACTGGGACATTAGCTTTTTTCGGTCAAATTTAACATAGACTTGTCGCATTGATGAGGAAGACAGTTGGACGTATTAGGTCAAAGGGTTAGTGTCTTGGCGAATGACTACCGAACGCTCGGCTAAAGTTTTAAAAGACTTTCTCGCAATACATCGACTCGGCACAACCCCCTCTAGTTCCAGACGAAGCCTGAGTGTCTTAGCATGCTTGGCATTCTCATTTGCCTGGAGATCATGCTTGCTGCTACAACAAATTGGCAACATTTAACGGCCTGGTTGCGATGCGGAGCTACAAATAAACTCCGTTGCCACTACAAAAACAGGGCAAGGTCAAGACAAGCGTTTATTCACTCGATCGGCAAGGCATGTGATCGCAGTGTGTGTGTGTGCGTGTGTGTGGGCGTGCTTCGTAAACTACAAGATTGAGAGGGCGGGCAGTCGTAAGTGTAAGTCATAGAAAAAGTAACCGTGTATAAATATTTTAGCTCGCCAGTATGACTCCACAGGTGACCACCCAGCAAGCACGCAACAGAGCAGTAACATGCTAAGTCCCACACCTGATCTGACTTACACTGATCCGGATGGTTGAACCGAGTGTTAGAACGTTTGTCACGGACCCCTCTGCTGTTCCACAAGGGTAGCAGATGCTGAACTAAATGAGTACCGACTTCTGGCGTGCAATTTTCCGCCGATAAATTAGCGAGAGAGATCACCACGGGGTCACGAATTGTTCAAGGCCACGGCATGTGGTCGCTGCGTGGGGTGTATAATCAGGTGGTTTAGAAAGATCGATAAGGGCGCTGTGAAGAGGAGGTCAATGCGGCGGAGAACGTGACGATTGGAATAGAGGACGTGAATCAGGACGATTCAGTGCCACCGAAACCTCTTCTAACTTGGCGCTGTCGAAGAAAATAGCTGTACAAAGTCATGCATTTCAGTGTGAATCGATTTCACCTCTGTGGTCTCATGTGGAGCCCCATTCACACAAAAACCCTCGTATTTTTCCACCCACCTCGACAAAACGAATGCTGCTTTTGTGACGCCTAACCACGCAGCCGGAATACTTTGTGCGTAGGAAAGAGATTTACTGTTACATTAAATTCTTAGTGCATATAACTATTATTGGTTACTTCAAGCCTGCAACCCAGGTGTGAAAAAAGGCTATATTGTTAGTTTTTGTAGCAAAAATTAGGACAGCTTCCAATCAGCGCACGACAAGTTAGCGGCTATTGAAGAAGGTCAACTTAAGCGATTTTGTTGCTGGGCTAGTTTGTACCCATGACACTCCTGTGTCCTTAACTGGTGTGATGCGGTCGCTGGCGTCTTACAGTCCAACCGGAAATCCATGGAAGCTGTGGGCTATTGGAAGAATCAGCTGCAATTTCGAGGCTACTGGGCCTACAAAACGACTGTCGACCTCCACTCTGCCAATGACTCAAACATTGACGTATTTAGTCAGTAAGATTTCGTGCCTGATATCCTATTGGTTTACGCTGAATCAGCCAATCACTAGGGACGGCGTTTTTAATGACATAAGCCGACTTAATTAACTCACGAGTCTCAAAAAATTATGAGTCAAGCAACCATCGGTAAACACTCAAATCACCATTCTGTTGACAAGCAGGTGGCTTTGCTCGACGCCTCTTCGAAGAACGCACCAATTACATTGGCCAAACTCGCCGAAAACAGGCGTTTGGAGGAGGACACCCAATTCCACCGGACAAAGACGATTGGTTGAGATTTTCCCAAAAAAATTGGCAGTTGGGCGGAGTACATGTGGCGATGAAAGAACTGTGAATTTAATAACCATGCCAAATTGTTGACTAACACCAAATCCCTAACTTTTTCTTCTAATATGCACAGAAAAGTTATGTTTTGCAAGCTTGATCCAATGCGAGCAAGACAATCAATACCAATTGGGTCAAACGAATATAAAAAAAAACATCACGGCAACTTCCATTTTACCAAAATTAGGGAGATTGGGACACCAACTGGTCGATTTTGTCTCCGTGAATTCACCAAAATTTTTCGCAAATTTTTAAACAAAATGAACGGGGTGAGCGCTCAACTCGATGCACCATCTAAAAACGTACGCACTCGTGTGAAACAAATTCCGAGGTTTCATGAACGGGAAAAGTGTCGCTCACGCAATTGCTCTTCCCACTGGCCAAACATCCTAAACCTAGCATCAGTAAATTGACAATGGCACCATCCTGTCTATGAAACAGACATCGCGATAATTGTTGCCAGACTAGTTAACTAGTGATCATGCGCACATCTACCCTCATTGGCTGATTCATACTCTTGTTAGATGCACTACTGGAGAAGTGAAAACGCGCGCCAAATTTGATGAACCAATCACAGGGTCAGATCCTTCGGATAATTAGCTTCAGGTGACCCATGCTTGTACGCAAATAATTCTGTATCGCTTTCAGCCAATGACGGCGTCGACAATAACTGGCATTAGTGGATAAAGACCCAACCAAAAACCGGACGCCAGGTTCAAATTAGATGGAACCATTTTGAGAATGAGTACGCGTTCTGGCATGCAGGCGCATAAATTTGGTGGTTTGTTCACTAAACAAATTATTCTTACTAGATAGGCAACTCACTGCCTCATTCTGCACAACGGGATCACGCTTCAGAATAAACTGGAGATTATGTGGAGAACTAAAAAAGCACGCGAATCTATTGACGTGCAGTTGGGGAGGCAGCAGTTTGGTGTGTGGAGCGCAGTTGGGCGTTGCCATGGTGAAGAGTGACACGTTTCCGTTGGGCAACGCTACAAGATTTGTTTGGTCAATAAACATTAATGCCGATTGAAATTGTCCAGCGTTCCAATTTACATCGAATTGGAGAAACTCGTGGCAGAGAAAGATTTGGCTCAACAAATTCCTTGGATTTGAACGAAATAAGATACTAATCTAAAAGTGGAAGCCTGGAGAATATGGAGGATGTGACTACACCCATCAACTAAGGGTGTATATATCGATTTTCCTGCATTCGTTGGACAGTCGTCTGTACTTAATATCTCGTGATCCCCAAGAAGCGCATGATGAATGATGAGTTGAATAAGTTATGAGACGTAGTAAGATGTGCCTTGTTGCACTGCGATCATTTGTTGTTGTCAAGCCATGGTTGTTCCACTTCCAGGCACTTGAACACAAGTGCGCTGATCTGGAAAATTACATAACACCTCGGTGACGCACAGACGTTTATCACTAAACACCCACATTTATTGCTAACTGCGGACTCACAAGGCATGCGTTTCCGATAGAAACAGGAGTGGACGAGGAGGTTAAGAGAACATACTACTGGGCTAACAGGAAACGCCACAATGGACCATCACTAGGTCACCGAGTTCGGGAACCAAAAATTCTTCAAACTGCAGGTGAGTACAACGTGGTGACCAAATTGTCTCCGTGAGGGGCATCCAAGAACGATTGCGAATTTAATCACTGAGTATTCTTGTCGAAGTCAGGGTATATTCTCAGCAAATCACAAACCAATTCTGGCTTGCTCATTGCCCTTCGAGTTGTATGGATGTCGGCATCAAACTGTCATCTATTAACTGACAATGGCAAACGACACACTGACCCCAATTACTACAGACATTTAGCGCAACCGGCCGTTCTAAGACACACACTCCTGCCTGCTGCTTCGCTGGCCAGTCACGTGATGGCGCTAATCACGACAAGCTACCAGACAGGGCTAAGCTAGCCACTGAAGGTCTGTATTGTCGGGCCAAAGGTGGCACAAGTCTTGTGGAAAGCAGTTCTTGCGAATCAAAGTAAAAAGAGGTGTCGCACAGACGCCAATTGAAAAGAAACCTACCCGACAGGCAACGCAGTATGCAACAGTATCAGCGTTAAATAAAAAGATCCGGCAATAAAAGAGTACAACTTTTGTTAAATCAGCAAGGGTTCCACAACGAAGACAGGCTGACACACATGTGAGGGAGGGAGGGGGGGCATGGATGGAATCTGGCGATGCGGAGGTGGTGAGATGCAAGCGAGAGATATCAAATAAGCGTAGTCCAGAGAGAGGCTCTAGCCATTAGTCGCTGCTCGCCACACCGAAGAGTGAGAGGAAAATCATGAAGAGGTTGACGATGTCGACGTAGAGCTGCAGTGCGCCATAGATGTACTCCTCCGGTGAGAGCTCGTACTTGCGCCCGCCCATGATCATCTGCGTATCGAAGGCTAGATACTACAACGAACCACAGAGAGTGCATTAGCCCGTTACGTCAGACAGTGGACCTAGCGCGTGTTTAGAGTTGAAAACGCTCGTCGGTTCCACGGAAGGCAGTAACTAGAGCACACTGAGGTTCAACCGGCATTTAGGCGTCCGGGCACGTGACATCAACAGCTTCCAATTTGCAGACTTCGTGAAGGCCACAACTCCAGCGATGGGATGTGGACTCGAAATCGAAAATGATGGTTTCAAGAGCACGAACCTCTGCCGAAGAAAAAGCCCCACCGAAAAGTTTAACCACCTCCAAACCGACAAGTTTAATCACCGGCATTGAGATTGCATTTCCACGAAAGACCAGAGCACACGTTGTAGGCGGTGCCACAAGGATCAAAGGCATTTTAAACGCGTTTTGGAGTTTTCAGCGTGGAGATCAACAGACTGATTGGAAACTGCAAAAAGCCCTGTTTGCCTGATGCACCAAGTCAGCAGGGTTGGTTTTAACAAGATCTGCTGACCCGACTTGTTTACGAATTATGCTGGATAAACGAACGTGCAAAGGTACACACCATAGTGATTACGCAGTAATATTTATGCATAAGCTGTTGCATAAATATTACCGATATTTCACAACCAGTGGATTTAAGAGCCCTACACGGAAACGCATCGTCACAACTCGAACAATACAAAAATGCCAACACGAAACGAGATGAAACAGCACGAATGACTTATCGCATTCACCCTACCACGCGGAGGAATGGAACCTACGGCTAGATGGCAACAACGTGTACGGCTTCCGATGTTTCGTTTGAGTGGTGTGTAATAAGCCATTTGAAAGAGAAATCGAGGGAGATTGAACATACTGTGTTCGAAATGCGTTGGCAAAGCCAGAACACGTCAAAAGAAAGCTAGTAACACTCGCACAGCGTGAACGCAACACAACACAACGGGGGTGATTCAAAGCACGAAGAGTTTGAAATGAGAAAGAATGAGATTGGGCTGATTTAGCATCATTTGACGAGTGCTGTAAGAGGTAAGGGTTGAATTGTGCACGTAACAACCGTTTGGTGGCAGACAATGTGAACTTACAATGGAGAAAACCACAGCGGCAATGCCTCCGTACACGGCGTTCAGCGTCTGAAAGGTCACAAGATGGGGGTTGTTGGTTTGGGGTTAAAGATACCACAGACAACAAACAGAGACTGTTTTCGGTGAATTTGTCACCACAGACTTGACAAAATAACTATTTAATTTGCGCAATCGGTAAGCCTAGCACTTTGTCAGACATTGGCGGTACAGCGTGTCGACTGCGGACAGTCCAGCCGCACGGCCTCGGTTTGTTTAGCGGCAAAAGGCACACATCACACGACACGGTGATGCAGTAATCGCGCTGGCACGAGTAAATTACAGCTTTTTTGTGACCACGACCACATCCGACGGTCACAAAGGCGGTACCACGTGGCAGGAGGGGATGTGGCACTGTCACAGCGCGACCACTCACCTCGTTGTACCCAGCGACCAAGTAGGTGATCATGACGGCGATGCCGAAGATGAAGAGGAGGATGCTCAGGAAGGCGATCACTGCCTGGCACTTGGTGATGTCACAGGGGCAGCAGATGGCCGCGATTGTGACGGAGAGGCAGACTGCGCAGGTGATGAGTAAACACACGAGGACGGAGTTGATGGTGTACATTGCGGACAGCGTGCCGGCCATGTAGGAGAGAGCCACAGTCTACGGGTAATCGATAGACGGGTTAGGCATGGGGAAACACGGCGTTAGATGGTCTGACAACAGTGAGTAATGTCCACCATTGAAACCAAGTGATTCTCCTCCCATTTTACGACGGATTGGAGGAGCCTGCTTGGCGTCAGCAGTGCGTGGACACAAAAAATTTCGGCCATTAGAAAATAATAAACCAAGGCGGCATTAAAAGGCGCTTACAAAGACACCGAGGGCGATGAAGTTGCCGGGGTACTTGCGACGCACGCTCTCGCAGCAAGCCAGGGCGATGTAAGTGGCGAAGAAAACGGCACTGAGGCAAAAAAAGAGAACATTTTGGGACATTCGACACCAAGAGAGTAAGCATTGTTCTTTCAACGCATCCGATTAGAATTAAACACAGTGTATTGCGGCCGCCTAATCTGCACCCAAGCGCTAATCCCTGTACAGTGAATCCCGTCGATGTGGGAAAAAAATTAGAAGCAATACCGAGTCCCAGATCTTGTGGAAACTTGCGCAGTTTGGCGTTCACGGGGCGCGCTTGACCGGTGAGCAAATCACGTGTCCGTATTAGAGCTCTAACCATTAAGGCGCGCAAATTCGAGTTGGCGCCAGAATGATCAAGGTGCCATTGAAGTCGCAGCAGCTTTTGCGCACTGATCAGACTGTCAGCGGTACGCAGCAAGGGCTGTACAAACAACAGGTCACGTTTTTCGTTTCTGGTGGTTCCAACACATCAGGAAAAATGTCAAAACCTGAATGCCCACCAGAAAGACATCACTGCCTGCGCGACACGAGGACCTTTAAGTGACAGTGGTCGAGATAAGGGAAGGGGGCAGGACGAGTTAGCGTTTCACAAAAGGCACGGGGCAAATAAATGACAGGCCTTTATGGGTGTGCCTGCATAAAAAAAGAGAGACCAGGGCTGCAACCGGCTAGACAATAGTTAATGGAACCAGACGTCGTCGCGACAAGAACGAGGAAACTCACTAGGCCAAGTAGTAGAACCACTGATTAGTCCGCACCCACGCCCGAATAGGCGGCCTAAAAAGGGAAACGAATATGCAGTAAGTGGAAAAGTCGTTCGTGTGGCCGACTCAATTGCGACGCACAGTAACGCCTCGAACTTGATTTTTAAAAGTCCTCGTTCCTGTTGTCACGTGTTCTTACTTTGAACCATCATTATCACGAAGTGGGTTACTGCCATTTCGCTAGTCAATACTAGGTAGGCTGATGTAAACAAACAGAGCCTTATCAGATTTACCCACGGAACAGAAAAGGAAGGCGATTACGACTTAGGGAAATGCCAAAGAAGTGACCAGCAAAGGTTATCTGCAAGTAACTACGACCTACTCCAAATGGGTGACCGTATTTTGTAAAAAAATTAACAATGGAACTTAAAGTTAACCGCGTCGAGAAAGCGTTCACCGTTAGGGCATTGCAAAATGTGCTGGTGATCGAGCAATGCATTTAGATAGGGTGAAATCGACCCACTACGGCCCCTCTAGAGTGAGTCATTTTGTTAAAATCTCACACTACAAACCGATTCGTGAAAAGCAGAAGAATCGTGGTTATGAAAGTGTACTTTATGAAAGCACAAACTCACACAAAAATGAACAGAGCGACAATTGCCGTAGTTACAAGTAACTGAGCCGACAGTATTGAGTAGACCTGAAATTGAGATAAAAAAAGTGATGCTTACAGATCAGTCTGGAAAAAACCGAAACAAAGCAGCTTGTGTGCATGCAAGGGTTAATTAAACCCGGGTCTTTTAGCACAACTGATGCGCACTGACAAAAGGTCAAAAAACGTCAATGCAGTGAGGCGTCACATTAAAGTACACTCAAGCGATATTTCCACAAAAAGGGGGTGCACATGCAAGGTCGCTCTGAATTAGGCTAATTCGTGGAAAGCTACTTCGAAGGGTGATCAATCAACCGTCTATTTCAAAAACGCGAAACAGGAGAAATGTCACCCCGCCAAAGGGGGATAAGGGGTGTGGGCGTACCTTGCCAATGAACCGACGTCTGATTGCCTTGTCGCTGAACGGAGATGCCGCGAATTCGCCACCTTCCGGGCTACCCGACGGTGGAACATAGCCTGACGGAGATAAAAGGGAATTGAAGGTACAGCACGATCAAACAACAACAACAACACCGAGCAGAACAGCGAAAACAGCCTGCAACGCCAGGACAAGGGGCAAGACAGTAAAGGGGAAGACATGCGAAAGGGATGCGCTTGTTGTTACACGTGGCGGCAGTCTGTGTTAGGTGAACCTAGAGCGAATACTCAGGTCCATTGCGAAGGTGAAGGTGAGTCAGGAGCCGTGCACACAGTGACCTCTTTTGATGGCACAATCACGAAGGCCTCGGTATTCATCACAGATACACAAAGGCGATGAATGTGGTAGGAAATGGGACAGGGGTGAAGGCAATTACACGATCAGACACGGTTTCGTGGATGCTGAAACTTCGGGGCAGATCGATTTGCAAACGAAAGCACACACGACCAGTGAAAACCGAAGCTGGTTTTTCGCCTACGCAACGACTGGAGCACATGAGCGCATGCGAGTACCCCTACGGCGATGAGCAAGTCAGAATAAATTACAATGAGTGTGGAATGTTTGTGGCGTTTACACACACACACACACACACACACATTTGTGGAAAGGGCCATTTGGAAATAGCCAGACAGGCCAAATTCTGTCAAGTTGTGAAATTCCAACGGTATCATCGGTACGGCTGCCTCGAAATCACTTGAGGAGGCAATGACTACGAACGGGGCAAACACACTTGAGGCAGCACACCCCGATAAGACGACGACACCATAACAGAAACAAAGTCCTGCCAACATTAGAATTCAGTTGTTCTGGGCGGCGCATTTGGCTGAGGCTGCCACCCACTCAGACCTGGAGTTAAACGCGATGTATCCGCACGCGTTCGAATGTAAGCACCCGATCGTGATTAGACGTCATTTGTGGTGCGCGCAAGCGAGCGGAACCCACACAGTCGATGTGTGCTGCCATCTGAAACATTGCGGTCTGGCCACGCGACCACCCCACGAAACCAAATTAACGGAAGGGAAGACGTTGAAAACGGACTCGTAGGTAAACAGGAACATGGATTTAGAGCACAAGCACTACAGCAGCACACTGATAACCATAGCGGAATAACTAGGGTCACTTTCCGCGTTTCGATCGTAGTACTTGAAAGGCAGTTGAATATTAATTAGTCAGTTAGGCAGTTGGTTTTGTTGTGGGGAAAGCAGCAAAATTAAGTTTGACATCACGGCAGTGTAAGCACTAGCACGTTTCGGCTACGCGCATTACCACACTAACCTTCATCACCTTAAACACAAACAGGCATGTAGTCATAAGCTTAGTCGATAGGGGAAACAGGAATTTCACAAGTAAAACGCTCCCCACACAAGCGTGGTTTGGCTCTAGCAAATTTTTGAGTACCCTTCAGATACTCACTGTTAAATTACCAGAGACAGCGGCCTCTGACAAGTCATTGGAGGGAAGATAATGGAGTCCGATTTATCCGAGCAGATTTCACTTATTTAGTTTACACCACTGAAGCACGGCTTAAGTTGACAAGCAAACACACAGACACAAAAAAGGCTTGGAGAGTAATCGAAGTACTTAACCGACAACGAGGGAAAGGGTGCAAGGCAATATTGTGGCACGCTACGACATGCCGCATGTGCCAAGATTGCTGCAGATTGTGGTTTGATAATTTAACGCGTTTTTAAGTGGGTGATGCAACTGTCAATATAAGTAACCAGCTTGCAACCCCCGTGTAGACTTTGTAATGCGATTTAAAGTACATAAGAAGTCAATGTTAAGAGGTGAAACGCGGAGAATACAGAGATGTTTGAGATGAAAAGGCACAACAATTGCAAAAGAGATGAGTGTAAGATCAGGCGTCTTGAAAAAGTAAAATCTACGTAAAAAGGAGCGACTACAGCGACAAGTGGGGAGAAAGTTGAAAAACTAAACAGAAAATCACTTCAGAGGGACCTACCACACTAAAACCGCGCAGACACGACAATAACCGCACAAATGTCGTTTGACCAAAATTACTGCACAACTTACAAAATTGCGGTGATTTCAGGGATAGATTTAGAATTCAAAAATATGACAAGCAGTTAGGGGAATAAGCCGCATTACGATCTAAGCGAGGATACCTGCTCCTGAGTCCACGGCACCGTAACCCTGGCCTGTCGAAGAATGTAAGGTGACATTTAGCCTAACTAGAAGCCAACTTTCCCTGTGAATTAACGCTCGGTTAAAATTGCCCTGAGGTTTCACTACACAAACATCGTACGCATCCAAAGATCGTAGGGGAGGTGAAGAACAACGAGCACAGAGCAAACTAACTAGATGAAGGTCTTAAATATAGAGGCTGCCACCTGGGCCAAGTCAAGCTTTGTTTCCAGAACCAACTCCCGGATTCAGCACTTTGCAAACATGACACGCCATTGCTCATATATGCGAAACGGAGACAAAAGGGGTCAATTGCTTAGTGGGACCGAACTTGGGGGGAGGAAAGGAAACCATTATAACGAACTTCTAACAAATTCAGTGAAAACTACCTGGATAGCCTCGATAGCTATTATTGACGAAAGATGGCAGGAAGCCTAGATCAGCAAATTAATGGGTGATATCTTTAAAACCAGAAATAAGAATCAACAACGCACAAGGAACCAATACAAACCAAAAAAGAACATTTTATGCCTAAGTTCACGTCATTCAACTGATGAGCCTGGAACTATCAACGATTCAACAACAAAGCAAAACAACGAGTCACGTCGAATTTCCAGCAACTCTACTTGATAAATTGTCAGCAACGTGCCAATAGTAATTTTAGTAAAAAACATGCGCATCTTTCAAACCAACAGCGAGCAAATGAGAGACGCATATGTGCAACAAACGCCGATAAAAGCCGCCAGTAAGACATACCAGGTGGGTATACTGGGTAGCCATAACCCCCAGCTGGCAATACAACAGAATTTACATCACAAAGTGGTGCGCATAGCGACACAGGACGACAAATTAACTAATATAAACCTGGAATCGGCATCGGTGGCACAGGGTAGGCGGGCTGGGGGTAGCCTAAAGTCATATATGGAAATGACATGGTCACAAAATAATGCAGCAATGCCTAACAGCAGCAAAATTTAATGATAATGCTTCCATACTGAACTCACCTGGGTAGCTTGGAGGAGGGTAGGCTGGAAAATAAGCAACACAAAGCCATTAGCACCGTAAAAATGCATGCAAGCGAGTAAGACGCATGTAACTCAAAAATTAAAGTACTAGAATCTCATATTTGATTGGATTCAAATCGCTAGAAGCACTTTGAGGGCTGCTAATACATAAGCTATTCTACTATTTAGAAGAAAAAAATACAAAATTTGTGAAAAAAATCGCAAATTGGCTTACAAGGCTGTTGGTAAGCCGGCGGATAGCTCGGAGGTTGAGTTGGATAACCCGGATAACCTTGGTCTAAAGAGAGGCAATGCGTCACAGTTAGCTATTACTAACCATTAGGCTGACCGCCTGCGGGCACATATGGCATTGCAGGAGGAGGAACTGACATTTTCGTAGATTATAAGCACCACTGAGAGCGAGAATGAAGAAAGTGTAACAACCGTCACAGAAAGCCGCGCAGCCTAAATGGGTTAGTTTAGCTTATATAAACTACCAGGAACAAATATGACAAAATGGTCTAAATGCGAGATTAAAATTGTATGTGTGTGCATGAGTGTAAGCTTTAAAAATTAAAAACCAGTTACTTGCTTAAAATTTTTTCCAATTAATTAAAGTTTCCAGTGCACGAATATTTTGCTGTTCTCGCGACGGTGTACACACATAAGATCAGGAAGATTAAATTTCAAAAGTGGCTAAAAGCCAAACGTTTTTAAGACCAAAACTTCTTTTTTAGACCTGAGCTTACAAAGTTTTTTCGTAGATGACTTACCTAGGTTACTACCGCACTATCTGATGTAATATTGGAGAATAGGGTGTCTGTGAACATCTCATCAATAAAAAGGACCTGCAATAATAAAATAATGGGTTTAAGGTGGAAAACAAAGTCGACTTTATTATTATTACGAATGCGCCTTTGCTAGCTCTCAAAGTTAACAACGCAAAGGAGTCAAAAAGAAAAATAATCTGCGTTGAAGATCATTAAAGTCATATTATTTTAGCTTTAATGTGACAAAAAGCATGTAAGGCACTCTACATGGTAAGGTGCGCATTTTTTTGCCAAAATTGGTATGTCCAGCAACTAAAAATTTATATCAGTTCCAATTTTTACTTCATTCGTAGAAAGGTGTTTGTTTTATGCAACCTATGTTCAGCACAATAAAATGTGCCTTTGCTGATTACATCGTCAAATAGCCACAAGTCTTACATCTCACTGCTCCAATATTTTTAATAATGTGCTGTTTAGGACATTGTAAATGTTTTTAGTTATTTAAAATTTTAGAAATTAAAAAAAAACTTTAACGTAAACAAAAGTAGTCAAAAAAAGTATGTCAAAAAAATTTTAACTTTTAATACCGCTTTCCCCGCCATCAAAAAATAACTGGAGAAAAATAGACATAATGCGAATCAGATAATGCTATATGGATACGGAAATGCAATAAAAAATGTTTAAAAAGACACGTCTCTCAGATTGCAGTTCTGCTTTTTGACACTAGGTAAGGGAAAGAGGGCCTATTGTAGCATTCAGAGAATATTAGGGCACATATGTTGATTTGTTCACGCCATTTGTTTTTTTAATAAATGAATTAAAAATATGATTTAGATCTGGGTCAATGAAGTATATTTCGACAAGGGAACCCAGACCCCACAATACAAAATACGAGTTTTGTCATGCTTGAAGTAACAACTGTAAAATTTTTGTGCATCAGAACTTACGTATTTATTGCGGCAAACGCATCGTAATTTAGGTGTATATGCTTATTTGAATTGGGCCATTCATATTGATTTTGTAAATGCTTTTTAGTCAAATGCAAATAAAAAAAATTAGTTATTTTCTTAGTTTTTATATTTACATTTTTACTTAAAATCGATTTTCTTATTAATTGTTAATGTCTTTTATGCTGTTTTCGAAGACAACAATTATTTTGTTTTAATCGTTTTGAATGCGCTTGAGCGCCCACTTCGGTGAAAAGGCGCACGATGGTATGCTTGTGGTTCTACTGTTTTATGGTATTTAGGGTATTGATATAAGTCACAGGCACAAAAGGAAGGTAGTACGTAGGAATCCAAAGAGCGATGACCCTTACCTTCGTCTTATGGTGAAGTTGTACAAGTTTCTTGCAAGACGCACACACTCAAAATTTAATAATATTATCAAGCGACGGCTTTTCATGAGTCGCATTCACCGCGCTCCAATGTCGCTTTCTCGGCTGGCCCGGCTAATGAAAAAGCCTGGTCGGGAGGATAAAGTTGCAGTCTGCATAGGGACAGTCACGAATGATATTCGCATGCGTGAAGTTCCTAAATTGACTGTAAGTGTGTTTTTCTAATTATGGTGATCTGGTTTTGTCTCCAAGCAATTTTTTTTTTACTTTTTGTCCATATTTATCTGTTAGAATCTAACACACATGGTTATGGATTTCTTGGCCCACAATTCCGTGCGTTCTAGTCTTACCTATTTTTGCAGGTTTGCGCTCTCCGCGTGACTGCGGGTGCCCGCAATAGGATCCTCAAGGCTGGTGGGAAAATTATGACTGTCGACCAATTGGCGCTGAAAGCTCCTCTTGGAAAGGGCACCGTGCTCATTCAAGGACCCAGGAAGGCTCGTGAGGCCTGCCGTCACTTTGGACCGGCTCCTGGCGTCCCTGGTAGTCACACAAAGCCCTATGTCATCTCAAAGTCCCGTGAGCGTTCTAAAGCACACAGAGCATAATTTTTTTGGAAATAAAGGTACGGTTGAATTCGCAGTCTGCTCTCAATTCAGTAATAACAGGCGGTGGGTTTATATCGACAACGAGGCCAATAATTTGCTAGTACATCCCTAAATTATTCTGATTGTAACTGTAGTTCGGCACTTCCTCCATTAGACAATTTTCAATTTCGATATGGTCGCGAAATTGGTGCCGCTGTTGGCGTCTTGTGGGTTTAAGTGGTAGTAACCGCTAGCCAACGTTTCGTGTACTCGATTTTACGCCCATGTCCGGCTATCGTCGGAATCGTGGGCTACGACTCCTGTTAGAGAATACTTGAGCCTCTGTTAACCCCACCGGGAAGTTTGTCTACCTACCACATACCTAATTCTGCTTTATTAGTAGCCTGTCACAATTTCATATTTGCTAATTTGAAACTGATTGGAGCTCATCTGTTTTTGTGTTGGGTTATGGGCTGGAAACGTGAGTCACTTTGAGTGTGATCCTCGGCTTAAACACTTGAGGTGGCATCGGAAGATGGCGTTCGCGTTGGTATGTGCATTGGTCGAACCCAAATTTTGACATGAAACCTGTTCGATGGCCTGACAGACCCATGTCACTCGCCGTCTTAGCTGTTTCCGGCATCGTGCCAGATTCTCGTGTGTTCATCGGTGAAATTGTGGCATCAATAGAGGGTGCGCCAAAATTACTCTTTGCGCGCATTTTACATAAAAGCACGATGTTTTCAGGTAGGTTTAACCTGTGCCAAGCAAGGGTGACTAAGGTACACACGTTCTTGAATTTATTAACCAAAAGTGGTTGGAAAGAATGCCTGTCGGATAGGTAAATCTAGTTCAAAGAACTCAAGTGGGGGGAAGGTGGGGTAAGCTAGCGGGGGGGGAGCATCTTTGTCGCGATAACCGAAAGACGGGTAGCCCTTAGGGGGTGCGGGGTGTGGAGTACCGCACATCGGGCTACCAGTTGGCGGGGTTCAGTTTCAGCTTGTAGAGCTTCAGCTTGAACCCGAGGAATTCAGAAATGAAGGCGGAGAAGCAGGAGAGGAGGACGAGCTTGAACACATTGTAGACGAGGGGGTTGACCGCCCATCCGCAGATGCGGTAGGGACCGTCCACCTCCTTGAGCAGGTTCTCGGCCAGCCGCAAGACCTGATTCGTGATCGAGAACTCCTCCTTCTTGTGCGGCTTCTTCTCCATGCTGAGGTACAAGTTCATCTGTTGGCGGAAAAACAACGAGGATTAGTCAATCGATTTTTAATAGACAATGCGGTTGGGGGAGGGCGCAAGTGTCTGACCTGTTCGGTGATGAGGACGGAGACGTTGCGGTACTTCTTGGTAATCTTGGTTCCCAGGGTGAGAAAACGAAGCAAGAAGACGCTCACCGACGCCGTGTACGCCAGGATGTCCCAGGTGGCGAGACTGGAGAAGACTCCGGAGCGTCGACTTGGCTTGCCCATTAGAAACTTGTGTGGGTTTGGTGAGAGAGAGAGAACAATTAGTGCAAAACTGATCAATCACGCGGCAGTAAGCGTCACTCATGCGTCACCCTGTGAACACACTCAACTCCCCGCATCGGAACAACTAACTTTCCATACATACAACGAGGTAAAAGAATTTGTTTAAATCCACCGTTGCCATTCACTCCAGGAACACTCACAACGGTGTCAATCCAGAGCGCCGACTTCCCGTTTCCAAGATTGTGTTGCGTCGAGGTTGACCGGTAGACGACTATCAGGCCATTAAAAACGGAAACTCGTGAACTTATCACAGCCCTGAACTTGTCCAACCCCAACTCCCGACACACTAAAGCGGTTGTCATTGAAACCAGCATGAAAGCTCACGCCTTGAAGTGAATTGTCTAGATTCAAACTCTGTCGTCGGCTCTAGAGACTATGCGGAAGCGTCATGCATGAGTACTCGCACGCGACACAAAAATAAGTACGTTCAGCCATCATCTAGTGAAGCGTTGTGTCTGGTGTCTCCAATCACCTAAGTCTTCTGCGATATCTGTGTGTCTACGGCCGCGGTGTGGTTCTAGACCACATGCCGAGATCTTCAACAGAATCGTCAAGACGATTCCCCGGAAGGTGCAAACTGAGGAACAGACCACATGCCGAGGTCTTCAACAGAATCATCCCTAGAAAGTGCAAACTGAGAACAGACCACATGCCAAGGTGCAAACTGAGGAACAGACCACATTCCGAGGTCTTCAACGGAATCATCAAGACGATTCCCTGGAAGGTGCAAACTGCAACAGAACCATCTCTAAAAAGTGCCAACAGAGGAACAGACCACATGCCGAGGTCTTCAACGGAATCATCCCTGGAAGGTGCAAACTGCGAGGAACAGACCACATGCCGAGGTCTTCAACAGAACCATCTCTAAAAGGTGCCAACAGAGGAACAGACCACATGTCGAGGTCTTCAACAGAATCCTCCCTGGAAGGTGCGAACTGTGAGGAACAGACCACATGCCGAGGTCTTCAACGGAATCGTCAAGACGATTCCCTGAAAGATGACAACTGAGGAACAGACATCGCGGCCTGGAGAGTTGGTTGAGTGACGCGTGGAAGACGTACCTGGGCGCAGAAGAAGAGTCCAAATGCGAAGGCGAGGTAGAAGGCGGCCGTGATGATGCACTCAATGGAGCGCTGTGGGCCCTGCTTCTTGAGGTAGGAGCGCAGCGTCAGCCAGCACTTCACGTGGGCCACCTTGTTCAGCCGAAAGTGCGGAATGCGGCACTTGCGGGCGCGGTGGCTCGACGTCAGCGCGAAGAAGTGCTTTGCGTAGAGCAGGCGCTAAAATTGAGAAGCTGATCGATATACACCTATTTACTAATAAATGTGCTACTCACGGTTTTATCAGTAGCACGTAATTTTAACAGCAGAATTTAGGGGAAACATCGGCTTGCCTGTTGAAATGAGCGTTCAGCAACGCAGAGTAAGAAAAAGACGACGCCGTAGATGTTGAGACGCAGCCAAATGCCAAGTCCAATCACCAGCCTATCGCTAGGAAAACGAAAACCAGTCAGTTCAAACATGACGATCTTTTTTTTTAAAAAACAGACAGGCAAGTTGAACTCACAGGCTAATACCACGAAACCACATGTTCTGCCCGACAAGATTGTTGAGATACTCTGGGGACGCGAAAAACACCTTGGTGACCAGATCTGAGATCCAGTAGTACAGGGAGAGCGCGAGAACACCAGGCGTGTCCAGTGGGTTCCTGGAGTGGTTGTCGCGCCGACTCCTGACCAAGTCGGTCTCGAACCAGGGCCCCAGCGGCACGGAGGGGGTGGTGTGGGCGCCTTCAGGCGACTGCGAGTACCAGGCGTGAAACACGAGCGGCAGAAGTGCCATTTGCAGCGCCAACACGCAGGAGAGCTTGGGGTAGAACAGCGACACCGTCTGGCGTTCTACGGCCTGTTTTGTAGAAGAAAACTCTGACCATTGAAAAGGCGAATTTTGATTGGCCAGTGAAGCACACTCTCAAGGTCAATCATAGCTAGCCTTCTTACTCTACAAATTTCGTGGTGACGTGTCGTCATGGTAACGGCAAGGTCATTCAGGATAAGGAAAACTGCTGAATCATGCGAAGTATTAGTTCACAATCAGGTAGGGGGAAAATACCGGAGGAATGGCGCTGAATTCTAGTTCTACAATACCGACTACTTACTACATTTTAGTAGCGCGTGTTTGATTGTCCAACGGATCAAGGCGATTTTTAACAACACAAACCTCTCTCCGCCACAAAAGGGAAATAATAGGAGCAAAACTGCCCATTTACCTGAATAATGCTCCACTGAATATCTAACAGGGTGAGGTTGACGTTCTACGGCCTGTTTTGTATAAGGGAAATCCGATCACTGAAAACGCTAATTTTGATTGGCCAGTGAAGCAATCATAACTAGGCTTCTTATTCAACGAGGTTCGTGGTGACGTGCCATCGTAGTAACGGCAAGGTCATTTTAAGATCAGAATAAGTGCAGAATCATACGAAATATTCGTCCACAGGCAGGTAGAGAAAAGACTTCACACGAACGGCACTAACTTCTAATTCTACAACAATGGCTACTTATCACATATTAGTAGTGGTGTTTGGTTCTGCTACGCATCAAGGCGGCTATGAGCAGCACAAACACAAAAGGCGAATGAAAAGGCGCAAAAACTACGCGTTTACCTGAATAATGCTCCACCCGATATCCAACAGGGTGAGGTTGACTTTTTTGAGTTTCCTCCCTTCCCAAATATAGCACCAGACTAGAAAAAGGGGACAAAAACGTTAGCACACACACACAACTCTAGTGAATAGCACTGGGCAAAGATGCTATCGCATTGTTGGGAGCGTGTGTTTTGACGAAACCTACAAAAAACACGACTGAGTGCGGCTCCAAAGGCACGTGGACTCAGGAGTTGCTAGTAAACAGACTAAAAGAATGCCAAACAAGCAGACTTACCGGTTTCAAGAGGGCCAGAAGAGGGATCGGAGATGCCCTAAGAAGGGAAGAGAGGTCAAAGGCTTGAGCGTCGCCCGCCGACACATGAGTGGCACAAATCGATGGGGGTGAGGGGAGGTGAGAGAGTTACCTGGAAGGCTCGCATGTACCAAAGAGCAAAAGGATCTTCAGCGTCCTCGTCGACAAGGTCGCCGCTGACACCGCCGCCGCCGCCGACTCCACCAGCGCCGCCTCCTCCGTGCTTCGGGCTGACGTCGGGGAGGTTGGTGGGCGAGACGCTGGAGCCGACGGCGTCGTCCAGGCCGACGGTCCTCACGTGCAGCGCAAAGGTCGGATGGTGGTGGTGGTGGATGGCGTGGCGCGTCGACGACGTCGTGGCAGGCATCTCGGACGCCGACGACGGCTGCGTGGTCGCGGAGGCTGCGGCAGCGGCTGGAAGCTGGTCCAAGTGCCCCCTCGAGCCGAGCCTCTCCTCGTCCGACACCGAGGACGAGTCGTACTCGCTTCCGAGGTCGCTGTTCATTCTGTCGCACTCCGTCTCTGAAGCCGCGTGGGCCTGTGCAAGGAAGAAGCGACGCGCGCCATTTAGCATGGATTTCAACAGAAATGGATGCTGCTAGGTGTTACGTTAGGTGGGGAGACGCGTGTGAGGGATTTAAATGGAAAGAATGCAAGGATGGCTTGTTGTCTGACTTTCCCTCTAAAAATCCGAGTAATAAAAGAGTTCGCATGCCCGTTAAGTCTCCTTCTGCAGTAGGTGGAAAGGTGGAGAGAGAACGCACGCGACAGGAAGATTCCGTCATCACACAAAAACGTCTGCCTACGCGGTGTGTCACAGGGCAAAAAATAAATTAGTAAGTAGCATGAGTTTCTTCGTTTGACGGGAGAACTGACAATGCGGGGGATGAGAATGATGCAAAGGAGGGTGGGAGAAGGGGTCGTGACAAGTAGATTGAGGGAAGAGTGCTCATTGGATGGAGAAAAAGGCTGACGAGGAACGATCGATTGTGCTGTTGTGGAGAACACACCAAGAGATTGCAGGTTTCTGTTGACGAAGACGGTCTGGTCGTTGGTTTCGGCGCAGCTGACTTACATTTCACGACACGAGGAGGGGAACCTTGACCACGTTGGCTTCATAAACCACAGCTAGAGTTTCAAAAATACGCAAATAACGTCCACGTGGACGAGGTGAAGAAGAATAGGGCTCTCGCAAACCGAGTGTCGAGTGAATTGGCGTTTCGCTCAAAATTCTCCAGTTAGGAAACAGCTCGTGGTTACTGCTTTTCGTTTCTGAGCTACAGTGGAGTTGTGTAAGCGGGAGTAACAGCCAAATTTCCAGTTGCGGATTGTGGATTGGAAGGCACTGACAAGTCGCTCATGATGTCAACTCAAAAAGCGGCCACCATTTGGAGTAGTTCAAGAGCTTCGAAACAAACTCCCAAGACGTCACTGTTCGTAATGTGCCGTCCATATGCTCATGGATCGAATGATGAAGATGACTCATCCTTTCTCCTCATTGGTCGGTGCTTGCAACCACTCAAAGTGCACACTCATGACCCGCTTTGGCTGGCTTGACGCAAGTAAACGGTTGCCAGTCATGTGTCCGTTTTCAGGGTGAATTCGTAATTTTTCAGATTTTGAACTTTGAATTAGTAATACGATTGGTCATCAGGCTTGTCATCGAACCGAAACCATAGCTTTGAGCTGTTTCACGTGCGAAAAATACATCCTTTGCTTCTAACTTATAACCGACAGATTTCGAGATGACGTCTTGGTGAAACTCCAATTCAGAAATTCGCAATCCGGCCTCGTGACCGCCACGGTGTCGGCACGACGACCGCGGTGGGGCCGACCTTAAATGTTGGTTGCTCAAACCGGGAAAAACGGAAGAACATCAACCTCTGCTGAAGCGTGGCAAATCTTCTAAAGCAGGTGCTGATTCAGGACGCAAAATCAGAAGCACATACAAAGGACATTGATCGTGACTCAGTGAAAATCCAGCTCAGCCGACAACTGCGTTGGACAGTTTTGCAAGACACCTTCAAGCAGACAAACCGCGAGGCATTCACGGAGGGAGGTTGGGTCACTGCCAAGCCTGGAGATAAAACCAGGCCACGTGGGCATTTTTTAGAAGAGAGAGGTACGATCAACTCGGCAGCAGCGACACGAAATCCTTCAGAAGCCACATTCAAACGCCGATGGACAACAATGTAGACTGGTACGGGGTTGATTGGACACGCAAACCACTCTGGTCTACAGGTTCGAAGAATGCCAACAAGTTTTGGCAATGTAGCTGGCCCAAAATCGTTGCCAATTTCCCCACCTTTGACCACTGACTTCTACAAATGATAAACTTCGTAGGAAATTGTCCACCCAAAGCTTGCTCAAATGGTCTGAAGTGAGGTTCCTACGTTCCTTTTCGCTTATTCAGACTATCGATAAATTGTTTAAGAATCACTTATCCAAGTCTAACTATTGGTCGTCTTTTGAAGGTCAAATGGAATACTGTTCTCCCCGTCCTTGTTTAAATAAAGTAAACCTAGTTTCCTATCTTTTTACTTTTTTAGAAGAACTGCTTGACTGCCGCTTTCTACATACCGTGAGAATGCCCAGATGCCTGTTTTGCGACAAAGAGAGCTTAGCTGGCAGATGGGCGCTAGAATCTTCGGCATTTTATTTATTTACGAGTGTCCAAGCCAAGCTGTGCAAACTGTGAGAAAGCAGAAAGAAGCGGCAAGTCGTAAAACCATTCACAGCATCGATTGAGACGGGGAAAAACGCGTCTGAATTTGGTGTGAAGTCGAATGAACCCCGACACACCTGATTGGTTAAGTCCCACCAATCAGAAACGAGAGTGAGGCAAGAGTGAAAGCTTGGGGTTAGGTGGGGGAGGTGGGGAGAAGCGGTGCAAGGCGCTAGAGGAGTGGTTAGCGGTGGACGCATTGAGGGTGCACGTGAGGCTGCCTTAATGCCACTTGGTGGTGAGGGTGCGGAGTTGTGGGGACACGCATAGCCTTCACTAACCCGCCAATATAGGTTGTACTGAAACAAGACAAAAAGGAACCAATTCACTTGCGTGAAGACAAACGATCGATCAGCGATGGTTAGTAAAAAAAGGGAGAGAGAGGAGGATAGTGATGGAAGGGGCTATTGGGTTAATGATTGCTTCACGGGTGCGCATTCAGGACAGAAGGAACGCTGAATGTGTGTGTGTGTGTGTGTGTGCGTGTGTGTGTGTGTGTGTGGTTTTCGGACACACATAGTAGATTGCAGCAAGCGACACACATCAAGAATTCCCAGGACACACAATCGCATCACACGAGTTAGCTCCAACTACCGACGTGTGCGGCTGAACTATGAGCGAAAGACGGACATGCGGCTAGCAAGAACCGTATTGGCGTGGTTGTGATCAACGCCTAACAAAGGGATTGTGTCTATTCAACGATAGCGCCACGATTTAGTCAGAGACCTGCCCTCGAGTAGATCCTGCGTGGTGAGGAAGAACCCGGCAAATTTAACTTGTGGACGCTTGCGGCCATGCAACGGTGCCACCGCCTACTGCCGAGAGTATGGAAGTTGTACAGGGGCTGTTCAGGCGAGCGTGGAATCAAGTGCTGGCGACAGGTCTCTGGAGGGTCATGCACACACGCACGCACGCGCACTACTTAGGTAGTACCAAAGAACAACAAGGCAGGGGCGAGAATGCAGGAGTCTTACCTTCTGAAGCCGGGGCACACTCAGTCTCTATTAGGGATGGCAAAAAACTGCAAGATTAAGGTGTGCATTGACGGCACAGAACGTGGGTTAGAAAGCGGACGTCAGATTTTAAACCGGTGATGAGGTTGACAGACACTACCTCCCGTCCAATGAGATCGCGGATGAGGCAGAAATCACGCTCTACTTGGTTGGACCATCCAAAGAACGCCGCAATGAGCAAATCGCCTCACTGTGACTCCTCACCGCCAGAAAATTGCATTCAACCTCCCGCAATGTCGTCACATGACAAAGCGGTAGCCAATTACTAACGCTTCAAGCGCAAGGATCTGTGTGTTCGTCGTCTGCATGTCCTGCATTTATCAGCTTGTACACTCAGCACTTGAGCACATCCAAAAGTAAAAGCCAGCGAACCAGGCAGTTTGAACAACACATGCGGACATGTAAACGCCGAATTTTCAGAAGCCAAAGATCCCCGCCCAACACTTTTATCACGTGCCTCGTGGCTGTCCGTAAATGAGTTGTGTGTCGGCGACCACGGTGACCAAACCAACGCCGAATCAACCTCCTAGAAGCCAGTTTCCACGCGCATTCGATGCAACCTAGACACGACGCAGGAGGCTGGTTTGAGGCAGTTAAGGCGTCATGACGAGGGATGCAGGAGGATGAGTCAGTTCCCTAATTGCGTGCCTCATTTAGACAAAAGGTGGTGGTACAATGAGCTAAAGACCTGATTAACAGGCCTCTCCCGTACACCCATTAACACATTCAGTAATGGTTTGCAATATATTGCCATTTTAAATAGGTAAACGGCAGATCTAGGGTTGCATGTCGGCAGTCACTTGTGCTCAATTGATTGATGGTTGCCACTCGAAGCGACTCTGTTGAGAACGCGGGGGATTCAACCAAAGCTTGACCAACTTTTTTTATCAATTTTGATCACTTAAAGTACACAAAATGCCTGACCGGCAGCTTTGGCAAAAATATTCGGCAACATTGAAAGTGGAGATAAGAAATTGAGGTCAAATCCAAATTCCGACGAAAGCTAGTTGTTGATGTTTACGTGAAGCACATGTGGTATGCAAAAAAAAGCGCACAGGAATCAACATTTCCACAAAAAAGAGGCTAAACGCTTCAGTAACTTGTGTAGTCCGTAACGCGTCGTTAAAACAGTTCACAAAAAAAGGGCTTGACCTCGAAGAAGTTGACGATGCCTCGTAGACAACTTTGCTACCAGTTCTACCAGTGACTGTAACTGTGAGCTAGTGGCTCTGGCGTGGAAAAGCACACGTGGACACACACAACGGAGCCAAAACACTGGTTAAAACACCAAACAGGTCAGGCTGACGCTGGAGACCAGGTAGTGGATGATTTCCACTCGAAATCGCACAAGGGAACTGCTGAATGCGCAGTCTCAACGCAGAAACCAAACAAGCAGGATGCAGGGCCTACCATTGGGTCTGCGCAGGCGGCGGTCGTGGTGGTGGTGGTGGCGGCGGTTGGTCGAAAACTTATGACCTTGGCCCTGGCGACCTGTGCTGCGGCGCGTTTCTGTGATGCATTGGATCCGCTGAAACAGGAAACAGAATCCCACGAATGATGTATTACAGATAAACGTGTGAATCACACACACGCACGCACGCACGCACCTGCGGAACTGCGTAACAGGCTTCTTGGACGTGGTCGTGGAGCCGACGGCCAGGTGGAGGTTGCGCGAGGTCTCGGTAAGACTTCCACCATCAGGCGACCAATGGCCGCTGACTCCCGGCTGACAGCTGATTGGCTGTTGGCGAAGGGTCTCCTCGACAGCGGTGGAGACGTGCGGCGCCTGGAGGGGCGGCCTCTGCTGGTGCCGGTGACTGCAGGCGCGCTCCCAAAAGAGTCTGAGAAACTTGGCGCGCTGTCGTCGTCGAGTGTTGAAGGTGTCCGTCGCCTCGAACTCCTCGTCTTCTGCGGAGGACTTCTGCTTCTCCAACTCCTCCGTTTTCAGCCCACTGATGCCGTTATCACCTGAAGACAGGGGGATAATAGGCATTGAGGTTACTTAACAGGACACACGCTTCTCGGACAGTCTAGAATACTCCCCTCGTCCCGGATGGCAACACCCTCCTTAGCGGTGTTGACGACACGAGGCCGCGCCTAGATCATTGACTTATTTATGGGACGGTCAGAATTTAAAGAACAGTCGTTGGACAAAACGACCAGGTACCCTCAAAAAAAATTTGAATTACCTTCGTTGGACAGCATTGTTGACACCTAAAACAGCAAGAAAAAAAGCATTGGCTATTTGTCAGCATGAAAATGCTGGCGTAGGACTTGACTCACGCCGCTGGTGCGAATGCCATTCTTTGAGCTGTCGGGCCTCTCATGTGACCGCGCTTTGCTCTTGTCATTCGAATTGGAATTTCTAGAAGGCAAACAGGAAATAATGCCTGCTCAGTTTTTTATCCAACATGGAATGCAAACGTGAAATTCATCGCCTAGAGTGTGGTTGCACGTCGACCAACTGAGGGCAGGCGATGTCATGCGTCACCGGATAACAGAAGGTCACCCGATCCAACTACTGCGACAAGTCTGGCTCAATTCGGTTCCAGTGGCGCGACATGTCGAGATATTCGATGGGACGAGTGACAAGCTCGTGTGCGATTCCCATGCTGGCAAAATTAGCGTTGTGTGGACGAATGTAGACGCTAGACGATCGTAGGGCACAGAAAAGCGGTTCTGGCAAAATTGGCAGTGGAGAGTACCGTGGATTTACACTTAGACAAACTATTACTGCGGTGCCTCGGCCCTATTGCGTCCATGTTGAAGTTGTGGGTTCGAGTCCCATCTCAGGATCTCGGCAGTCGACGACAAGCACTACCAATCCACCCCGAATTTAATTCACCACAATCCCACGTTTCCCGCCACCCCAAAGGGTTTCAAAAAAACGGATATATAGCAGAGATCGTTTGCTACACGAATCGGAAATCTGCGATTCTGGCCAACGTGAAGGTGTTTCCACCGCCCATGGAGGTCGTGCGTGCATGTGAACCAAAGTGATGAGTGAGTTTTTGTTCTGGTGACGCGACACGATGGTGGACACTCGAGAAGTCCCACGATTTGAAGGTCTTCAAAACGCACCTTCCATGAACGAGGATCTCCAAGCGTCAAGCGTTTTGCTTTTACGGATGTTGAAGTAAAACGCAGCTTCAGAAACGATGCCGCTGCTTCGCCACCTCCTCAATTCCTCAAAGATTTCTCAAGCTCGATTTGTGGGTTTGTCAAACGAACCAACTTGCACACATTGAACTATGCCAACGGTGATTTTAAACGCCTCAAAAGTTCATGCACCAAGTGAGATTATGAGGTAGTGTGATTGCATCACGTGATTGAATCGGTTTGAGTGACAGTGACCTTGGAAGGAGGCACTTACACCACGCATATTGGGTGGCCGGATCTGAAACGATCCGCTGAATGTGGCGATGTCGTGAATGCAACGGCGTTCGTCAGCACGCCAAAAACAAACACACACGCAGACAAACAAAAAAACCAAACAGGTGTTGGTACCACGGGAATTCGGTCTCTATGCGGGCGGAAAAAGACATCACGGCTTCTCGGCCAATCAGCAAACACGCCCGCAGCCTAAAGGGTGCATAAATGCAAACTTACAAGTCGTGAGGAATGAAAGTGGCTTCGCCTTCGGCTAAAACAAAAATAAGCACCGTTAAGGGCTGAATTGACTCAGTTAAACGTCTGTACAAGTTTTCTGAGCTTTTTTTCGGCCAAAATGGAAACCACCAATAAACCGCTGTTTCGAGTTTGGTTAAAAATAGAGCCTCAGCTTCACCAACTGCGGATGTTTTTAATGGCTCCTAAAATACGGCGCGTATGCACAACACGCCAACACACACACACACACACACACTCTGCCACGCTAATCACAAAAGGCAATTGAGGGAGTCTTTTTGCGTTTTAAGGCATGTCCACTTGCGCAAAACGCCCGCACTTGGGGTATAGGTTCAACCAAAGAGGGTGGCGGGCATCTGAATTTTGATTGGCTGACGACAGGTATGACATTAAACACACACTCAGGTGGCGATTGAAGTAGTTTAGAGAATATGCAGGTACCTGGGTGAAAGGGACCACCTGAGCAAAGCCTACGCAAACACCTGATTCAGTTGTTTTTCGCGGACCATGGGCTACGTGTGTACCTCAGCTGACCCTCTACCCTGACAGAGTTATGCAGTTCTCCAGGGCCCTCTTTACACGTACACACATTGCTGCTCACCGCCGCAACACATAAAGTCAGGTGATACATTTGTGAATTGGAACAGCACTGACACGCGGCACGGTGTGGCAAAGTGCTGACGTAAAGCAGCATGAGTGCTCTTGTAGGAATGTGCGTGTGACCGTTTACGCAAACTCTGAGATCTTGGAATGCCAGTCACTAGCCAGCCCTCTTGGGCGACATCGATTGGTTGAATGACAAATGAAGCGCGGTTTGGGGGCAACTGTTAACAAGAAGATCCACCTGGGTTTACGGTTTTGATGGCTTAGCAGAGCGTCGTCGTTTTGGTGAATTTGAAGATAACGAAACCTAAGCCGTGAGCCAATCGCGTCGTGGCAGGGGTTAAATGCACCACGAAGACACAAACAGCAATTCAAGTTCACAGAAGGGGTATCGAACTCATTAAGAAGCTAAAAGTGCAGGTTCCACACATCGAACACAGTGAAATTGGCGCAGTTTTGCCAACACCTCAGCACAGATTGGGAAACACGAATGGTCTACAATGGGATCAGGCGAAAACAATGAAGGCTCGGAGCACGAGGCGGCAGTAGAGAGACCAGCGCAAACGAATTGCGAGCTGCTTCCAAACAATTTGCGCATGGCCACAGTCAAGTGGATTGGGCGTCGCGTTCCACCAATACCTGATTAAATGTCAATATTTCCAACCATTTAGCACCACAAAATCGAAACCACACTACTGCCAACCCGGTGGGCGACTACCCAGAGGCGTCACGGTGGAAAGGAAAGAGTTCAATTTTAGGTCAAGGTTAAACTGATCAAGTCATTTTGGCCGAAGGGGCGCTGTGACGATCGATGATGGTGGCTGGATGCAGCCCAAACGGAGTAACTGTAAAAACGTCGGATACGGGCGCGCTGTATGAATTAAAGCAAGGGCAAGCGTAAAACAGGCAATACGCAAATATGATGAGCCTGCATTCGTCAATAAACATCGCAAAGCACCGAATACATGCTGATGCGGCTGGAGATTAATCACAACATCAAAATGGGATCACGCAAATTGATAAGCTTCACAAAAAAGTCACACACACACACCGCCTGCAAAGCCGACAAAAGACTAGCGTTGCAAACTGGTGGCATTTGAAACAAAACCTTTTTTTTTGAAGAAAGAGGAATCAGTATTTGAAATCAAGAAGACGCCACATCGCGCGGGGGTTTGAGCAAAGCACAGACATCTGACATTTCATAAGTGAATAAGGGGCAAAAAATGAGAAAAAAAAACGACTGCCCAGTAATTAGGTGGAGATGAGAGGGCACCACAATTTCGTCTAGTGACAGGACGCGCTCGTTTCAAACTGCTGAGGGTAAGTTGGCTGGAGTTGAACTAAATCTACAAGAGTATTCCAGCAACTCACGTTAAAGTTGTGTCAAATATTAGAAGCATGTTCAGATTGTTTTCACGATCAGATGTAGTTTGCTGGACCGGGGAAGTAGAAGATATGGACGCGACAGAGGAATTCTCAAAAGGATCTGGACCATCCGTAGTTTCCGAAGCGATTTCTAACCGAGTTTGTCAAATGTTTGTTTGTAGTCTGTGCGTAGAGCAAGTCAAGATACTCTGTTCTCTACACAGACTGTTTCTCACTCACGTTTAGGCGAAGATTAGCACAGGAAACTTGGAGGGCCTTACTATGCGTGGGGACACTAATGCTCTGCAGATTAATCACAACTGTCCGTTTGACTAAATTTGTTCGAAAAGACCTCGACCACCGACTTGGTGCATGAAAAAATATTCCCTTCCATATGGACTCTCATAAAGCCAGACAATCCATGCAAAACAACAGCTGACTTTGGGTAAAAAAGCGCATGGTTCACACACAGGGAATCCCATGATCAGGATTCTAATATAGATTAGATCAGAAAAGCACAAACCAAGATTATGTGGTTCCTCGTCCTCAGATTCGTCACCGCCACCATCGTCGTCATCATCTTCTTCCTCTTCCTTCTCTTCTTCCGCTTCAATTGTCATGGCACCGGCCTCAAGCATATCCGGCAGGTGACTCATCCACTTTGACGTATTCTTCAGACGCGGCGACAACTGCTGGCCCCCGCCACCCACATTCGTTTTCAGCTGTTTGCTCCGGTACTTCGCGAACACCTCGGGGTCCGGAATGCCCCGCATTTTTGCCTCCTTGAAGCGCTTGATGTCCTCCTCGAGCGGAGTCGTCGCTGACGCGGCCTGGGAGAGCTTGAAGCAGAAGTCGGGGCTGAGGGAGGCGCTGCGTTTGCGGAGGTAGCGCTGCCGACAAGCCTCGTTGTCCTCCTGGTCGCTCTCCACGTCGGCGTCGTGTTCGGCGCCGGAGGAAGGTGCGCGCAGAGGGAGGCTCGCCCCACCACCACCACCGCTTGCCTCCCCCGTGAAGTGGTGGGGCACTTTGAGGGAGTACGCGCGGCGTCGGTGGGCGAGCTCGTCCGAGATGGCACTACAGTAATCGCCGTCAACGGGAACGGAGATGGATAATTTGTAGCCCTGATTGTGAGTGTTCGACTGATCCAATGCCTGGTTCACGTCCTCCTCATCCTCCTCCTCGCTTGAGGTGTGGCTGCAAGTAAAGACGACATTTCGAGTTTTAGGAAATGGAACTTTTACCAACAGAGCGATTGACTAAAACATTTGGTGCATGCGTTAATTTTTGCAGGTTTTTCGGCAAAATTATTTAATTAAAATAGAAAACAATGATTTGAAGAAATCAAGTCATTTTCCACGACGATGACGACGACAAATTTACGCACATCGTCTCCAACGGTTCAGGAACTGTTCATCCACTATGGCGTGCTGCTGTACTGACAGCAATAAATGCTAGTCAAAAGTTGGGGGCCAAGTCTCGTGAAGATGTTGAGTGTGGGAGAACTTCCAATGCCATGTTCAAGAAGATCTTCTGAGTCCTACGAGCAACGTGAGTTTGTCTAGCGTTGTCATGTGGCAACAGCAGTAAATGGCCTTTCCTGATCAGTTTCTTCTCTCAGTTTGATCAATTGACGACTGTGGAGTCAGCAGTCACCGTCTTACGGCCAGTTTCCAGGAGTTCGTGATAACGTGCACTCTACATAGCCCACCAGATACACAGACACCAGACACCTTTGACGTTCCCGTAAAAATGCGCTTTTCATCACCGTCACAATGTTCCTCAAGAAATCAGTTCCTGTTGCCTGTGGACAACCAGTTAAAAGTCATGTGATCATACGTCGACCAACGCTGGTCTGGGTTGTGTCCGGTTAGCACATGTGTGGAGACCCA